GAGAGAGAGAGAGAGAGAGAGAGAGAGAGAGAGAGAGAGAGAGAGAGAGAGAGAGAGAGCAAGGAGGTAAAAGGTAGTTGCCAAGGAGAAGAGAATGGTAGGGAATTTGTTGCTCAATCAGGTTTTGAAAACTAGGAGAACGAATTGCCAGATAGATTGATCTTTTGTTGGAATCAGACAAAAAGGAATTCACGCGGCTCGAACCCGGAAATCAAATCTAATATTCACGGACACTGCGAAAATCTGATATCAAATGTTCAGATTCTATTGCAATGTACCGTCATTGCTACAGAAGTTTAAGAAGCTTTATTACGAGATCGAATTTTAATATTCATAATCTATGTCACAAAATTGCTTTATAGAAAGTAAATGAAAAACGAAATAAAAAATAACCGTAGCGCGATCGGCATTTTTGCATCCGTATCCGTATCCTGCAACTATCGGTGGCACTCAAACTGTTAAGATAAAAAGTCTTATTTCGTGAAATCTTAAGACGTATCGTAAACAAATGGTCAAACTTTCAGGTTTCGACTATCAGATCCGCACCAACTTATACAATCCCATAAGCCTTACCATTGCAGGAGAATATATTTTCTGGACACAACGCCATTCGACTAACCTATTTTGGGGGAACAAAAACGATATTCATAAAAAAAATTGGGAGATAAACTTCGTAGATTGTGAGTTTGTTTGACATTTCAACAACATATAACATATACGTGTGAGGTATCAAGTCAAGAAAATTTATTCTTTCTAGACATAAACAAAGAAACAGGAATTTCTCATTTAATAATGCCATACATAATTAAGGACGGCTATCGTAAAAACTGTGGAAACTGTTCGCACGTGTGCTTACCTTCGTCTGCAAATTCATACGTAAGTACGCTTTATGCATGATCAAAATGGTAATATCATGTCCTGATGAATGTCATGCATATTATTTATTTAACGAAATCACGTGAACATTTCGTGCACAAATAGAATATGATGATGTTAACATCACTTCATATACGGCATACTTGTGTTAATTTTTTAAACATTCATCGGAGGGACATATCGTTTGGAATCACTTACCTGATATCAAATACTTGGTAACTTTCAGCTCTGCGCTTGCCCAGGCGACATGACGCTAAGCGAGGACAACCACACGTGCATTTAACAGTACACATGTTTTCTCGACAAAATTAAATGCAGCGAACATGGCATCTGCATAAAGCGGGACCATTGGTACGTTTTAGCATAGTTTCCTTACGTCGTCCAAGTGACTTTTAAATAATACAGATTATACAGATTATATGTATGCACGATGTCCGACAGAACACATACATCTGTATACAGGAAGAACTAATCAAATTCAACGAGAAAGTTCTTTACTGTTTTACAAACAACTACAATTATTCACATATTAGTTAAACAAAATTGGTAGATAAGTGTGCATGATGCAGTAGAACAAATGTTTTAGATGCAGTCTCGTTCAAAATGTCTGAATAAATTAATAAACTGTTGGTAACTGTTCTTATACTGGACAGTGATACAGTGAATTGTAACATTTGACAATGAGGGCGTTTAACACACATTCGCAAATTTCTTTTTGTACAATAACTGTAGTTTTGTGTTTGAAAAATAGTGAAAGACATTTTGTTCAATTTAATGAGTCATATCTGTACACGGGAGATTATACGTGTTATGTCAGCATAGTAAAAATTCTATGTAGAATTCTGTGTAGAAAAATTATTATTTATTGTCACATTTTCCCGGATAATTACAATCTGTGATACACATTGACGGACAATGATCGATATATTTCCACTTATCTGCAAAAGTACGCTAATAGTGCTCGCCCACGTGTTTACATTGTTAAAAATATAACTCCAGCCAACATATAAAACAGATAACCATGTCCGTGCGTATGACGGGTTATAAACGGATTTAACATGTTTATTGCAAACCTAACCAGCGTCTAAATCTCTTTTTCTGGATATTTTTATATATATATCATTAAATCTCTAAAAGAGACATCCAATAATGTTTTGAATAAGCCACTGTATATAATACAAAAATATAAATATGTTTGTGAGTTATGAAATTTTATGATTTATTTAGGTGCAATGGCATTCATGGTTGTCCGAATGGCGAAGACGAATTAAATTGTCGGGAGGAAAACTAACTATAAGTGAAAATCATTATAAATAATGAAAAAGAATCAAACGAAGTTACATTTGTCAAATTATATCATGGAATTAACCATAAGCTATTTGTGACAAAATTATTTACAATATAGAATTAAATTTTTGTAGACTAGCATTGATGAAAAGATGAGCATATTGAATATATTATCAGATGGATTGGATAAAAGAACGCTTTGAATTAGCTTTCTGTACTCATTATATAATTTACACAAAATATTTAATATTATCAATCGTGTATTGTTTAAATAATATTAAAGTATATACAATATTACTGATATACTGTACTATACTGACACTACAATATTACAATTGAATATTTTATATATTTTATAAGATTGAGACAACTATACATATTTCTTACTTCTGTTTTTTAACAAACAATAAAAAATTTACAAATATATATCTATAAAGATTTTTTTATATTTTTTCAAACGCGCATTCTAATTTCCTCAGTATTTCCCCTTAGTTTAGCATTTAGCTATCAGAATATATTTAAAACATTTCTTCGACGTTTTCTTTTAAATTGTTTAAACTGTAAACTTAAAGAATACAATAGAATTTTTTATAAATCTATGTGAAGCTCTCACTCTTTTTCTCTATATTTAATCTATTACTGCATTTATCTTCTCAATTGTAAATGCTGACATGATAACATGAGAGAGCTCGCCCGACTATTTACTTTATAGGATTGACTATTCGAATAAACATGAAGAGGACATGTGTTCCGCTAGAAAGAGCGCATAGTGTTCGTTGTTGATGTGACCTAGCAGTTTCAGCGTCAAAGAATATTACGAGAGCATATATACTATAAAAATACTATATATATATATATTTATTTATTTATTTATTTATTCCAATCACCTTTCAAGATAATTACTGTGGAATTTTAACGATTCTAACTGACAGAAAGAAATCTTTATCTGCAAAATCAAACAAAAAAGAAAATAGTGTATTTCATAAACAACATGCGTAACTGCATACATATACAATTAGAATTTCTCTCCATAAAATATTGTTTAATGTATTAATTACGCGTAAATTAAAATACGTTGCGCAGCATTAAGCATGATAAACGTGTTATAAAATATATAGATGGGTATGAGTATGGGAATCATATGGGTATGGGAATGGGTAGATAAGATAAAAGTTTGTATAATTTGAAATGTACTTCGAGATAAGGAAAGCGGGAATATGATACTACTTCCGCTGCGAAATAAAGTTGCAGACTGAATCGCTGACCAGTCAGTTTTCGAAACGTACATGTCCAGTGCAGTTCATCATCATGACGCATAAGATTTGTTTTGTAAAGGTATGTTTCGCTAGTAAAGGTTAAATCTTAACTTTTTTTTCACTTTTTTTCTCTATTTGGCTAATTCAATTTTTGATTGTTACAATATTTTAAATAATATATTTCTTATCATAAACATTGTACTTATTAGTATTTTTCTTTTCAATTTCTTAGATTATTATTATCTTTAATATATTATTAATTTTTACTTTTAACTTTTTCATTTTGTTCTTCCTGTTTCACATTCTTTTATATTTCTTTTTTTAAAGAAAACTATAATTGTAGCAAAATCTAATTTTATTACAATAATATTTTTAATGCGTTTACTTACAGGTTATGTTTCATATTGCGGGACTATTACTTCTGTGTAATTTTTTAAAAATTTGTTCTGGCAGACGTAGTTATCCTATAAATAATATAAATAGTAAGTTGAATATCACATTTAAGATGGTTGTATCGTTAGGTATTGTATTTTTAGTAGTGTATTAAAAAAGGGTATTACTGGTAAATATACTATTTATTTAACAAAATTATACTTCTATATATATGCTATTTAAATAATAAATTTTAATTTGAAACGAAGTTAATACATAATCGCACAAACACACAAATACATACACACACATATATATGTGTGTATGTATATATATATATATATAAATATATATATATATATGTGTGTATATATATATATGTGTGTGTGTATATATATATGTGTGTATGTGTGTGTATATATATATATATATGTATGTGTATATATATATGTGTATGTGTATATATATATATGTATATATTTATATATATACACACACATATATACAGGGTGCAACAATCTTACCAACTTAAATATTTTCGTATCTATACAGTCTCGAAAATTTATGTAAAAAATAAAATTTTCTCAACCATATATATACTCTGATATAATATAGGAATTCTTCAATTTATGTGGGCTCGAAACTGTACTGCGTTTAATTTATTTGTATATGCTGTGTGTAAATAGATTTTCTACTTATCACAATATATAATCAATTTTTTCAAATTGAAGTTATTAATGTGCTAAAATTATTAATCAATTTCTAATTATTAATGTGCGACATATTATTAAATAATATGTCTTTTGTTACAAGACGAGTATTCTTCCCAAGACTTGTTTACATGCTCTAACGGTAAACGCATAAAATCAATATTTAAATGTGACAATGATAATGATTGTGGTGACAACTCTGATGAAAATAACTGTAACTATAATGTAAGTATTCAGTTGTAAGAATATTATAGTGTAATGATATGTTCAACATGTTTAATTTATTAACAGCATTGTTATTAATATTTCATTTTACAAAATAGAAGTATCATACAATATGTACACAAAAGGCTTCTATTTCTTATATCAGTACTCGGAATTATTTGTATAAATAAGTCAATTTCCGAGCGATACGCCTCTTTACTTTCCCTTATCACTCCAGCTCGTCCGGCGGACTACGCAACTGATAGTCGTAAGGCTGGGCCTCAGGATTGTTGATATTACGAAATCTATGGAGTGCTTTCAATAGGTCTATTAAATAGACCTATTGGAAATAACAGTACCAATGTCCGGACATGCATCTAATCCTGGACACTTTCTTTATTTTGGTCCTTTTTAATATAAATATTTATATAAACATTCAATATAAAATATATGTACAAGTATTGAGTATGTAAATATATTTTATGTTGATAACTTAAATATTCATATTTACCGTTCAAAATAATAATAGTGTCCAGGATTAGGTACGTATCCGTGAACTAATAAATCTTTACCTTTACTTTTACCACTTGAAAAGAAAAGCTCTCATCTATAATAGTACTGTATTGGGTGATGTAGAAACCTATTATCACGTCGTAATTTTAATAATATAAGTATATAAATGTATATTGCGAATAAAAATATTATATGTAAAAGAGTTGTTTCGTTGAAAATTGATAACAACTTTTCAGATATTATAAAATGGCTCACAGACTTCGTGATGTTAACAGTCGTAAGGCTTGACCTCCGCGAATGTCAGTGCGTCCGCCGAGCGAACTGGAACGTTAACGGGAAGTAAGCAAGCATAGCCCTCGAAAATCACCTCATTTATACAAATAATTCCGAACACGGTTTTATACCAATCAGTTCACGTTAGTAACTTCAGTCTTCACTTATTTTAGGTTTATAAATTTCTTTAGTAAACCGGTAGCTTACAAAAGAAATTCGTAAACTTAAAATACCAATAATCTTAAATCTCAAAACTCGCTATAAATACAGTTATCTACATTTTACATAAGTCATACATACGTCTGTACGGTCCAGACGAATAATCAAGTGATTTCTTTACAGTATCCGTACAGACTATTATGCTCCAAAAGTAATTTTAATTGTACAAATAGGAATTGCATATCAAGAGATAAATTCTGCGACGGATATTATGATTGTACGGACAACAGCGATGAATACGACGGTTGTGAAGAAGACGTAAGTAATTACGAACTTTCTGTACTGATTTTCCGTGCCATTATATTCGTGAACTGCTTCCGATGCTTTTTTGGTATAAAAATTAATTTGCATTTTGTTTATCATATTAGTTAAAATGCGAGGGTCGATTCCGATGTACTAATGGATATTGTATATCGAAAGAATGGGTTTGCGATGGCATGAAGGATTGCCTCGATGGCAGTGACGAACTGAATTGTAATTTGTGTTTAAAAAATTTATTTCATAATAATAAGCAAAGGATATTATGACTTATTTTGGCAAGTTAGATTATAGTACATTTGATTTCCGTAAAGTATATTTTGTTTATTTACAGGCACCGCGATAGGTTGCAAAATAGAAAATCATCGATATCAATGTACAAATTTGGAATGTATTTCTCTTGATCTGGTATGCAATAACATATTCGATTGCACTGATGAATCGGACGAAGATGGCGCTTGTAACAGTAAGTCGTGTATTTTAGTGAATAAATTTTATTTATTACGTATATTAAAGTTTTTGACGTACATCTAATATAATTTTTAAGTGGTTAGTTATAATATCATCATAATCTCCTTTCTATTAGGTACAATATGTTCATCGGCGGAATGCAGTCACAATTGTATCGTTACACCTGACGGATCTGTTTGCACTTGTCCACAAGGTTACAAATTACAAGATAATCATACCTGTATAGGTAAATTCGTGGCAAATCAATATAACAAAGCGTAAGAATCGCAGCTCGTTTGCTTAACAAGCTGCTCTCCTTTCTTGCAGATATTGATGAGTGCGAAATTGACCGGATTTGTGATCAACAATGCTTGAACACCGAAGGATCATACAAATGTATCTGTCAGACAGGTTACACGTTGCAAGATGACATGAAAACTTGCAAAGCCGATGGTAAATTAATCTACCGGTTCCACAGTAAATATACATATAACGAAAATACAAAATCTTTCTTTCGTACTTTAGGTGATGAAGCTGTAATAATATTCGGTGAACAACAAAGAATTCGTGGTATACATCTCGATTCAAAAATAAGCTTTATCTTGGCGGAAAATTTAAATGAGGTTGCCAACTTGGTTGCTATGGACAACGAATACATATACTGGTCAGACGGAAGTCAAAAAATCATGAAAGGTACCAAAAACGGAAAAAGAGAAATTATCCTTACAAAAGGTAAATACTGTGATTAATAATATTTGTCTGTTACAATCATTGAGGACCAGAGACGAGAAACCAGGGAAAGAGAAACGGAAATAATGTTTTCATTTACACCATACCGGAAAATATTGTCCATTCTTACAATATAAAACAATAATTAAATAAAAGGAAAGTCGCTAATTCATAGAATTAAAAAATAACGTGTTATTTATCAAGCGACTTTACAAGTTATTTATTTCAATAACGATTTAATAACAATGTTACTTTTTTTATTAATAATAGTAGCGGTAACACAATTAAATTTCTCGGATAACATATGAATATAGTGGTTAGTTTCATCGTTGCTTCAAACACGTTGAATACATGTATATGGAAAAAATGGTCGGGAAAAAAATTCTAAAAATAAATCTTGAAAACTTCTTAATAAAAGCAACGAAAATTGTAAATTATTATTTCTTGAATAATGATAATGATAACAAATTACATTTTTCAATGGATGACGACTAACAATAACAAATAATTTTTCAAAAGTAACTTCCTCAATTCCGATGACTCATATGCAATGAGTAATATAAGATTACTATTACAGACTATTCGCAAACTAGTAACAGAACCAAACGTCGTATATATCATAGATTTCACACGTTTTTACACTCAATGCGAAACCAGTTACCTTCTTTTAATGTAACAAATAAAAAAACGAATAAAAAATATCTTTTCAAACTTTTATTAATGTAATATAAATAAAATAATACTTTCATTACTTATATTAGTGTAATATACTTTTATTAATTTAATAAATAAAGTAATACTCTTACTAGGAAAACCCTGTTAATATACTCTCCCATTTTTTTTTTTTTTT